TTTTTTTTCTGCCTGTTTTTTTTTTGTTTGATGCCTGGAGGGCGCGGAGTGTGGTGTTCGGGTTGTGCTCACATCCAAATATCTCGTCAACGAGTATACCACCTGGTTGGTCCGCATGTTGTGATAGACGAAGATGTTCTTGCCGTGGGTCAGGGAGTTCAGGGCCTTGCGTAACCGCGTGCCCTCCAACACCTGATGTGTCTTGAAGGCGTTCGACTGCGCGTCGCGGCGCCGACCCTGGATGACGGTGTTCTCGTCGATCGGAGGCCGACGCACGACGTTCCATGTGCCCATCTTGGTCGGGTCCAGGACCTTCTGGATCGGTTGCAAGATCTTCTTCATCGTGCCGCGCTTGGGGACTGCTGCATTGGTGGCTGCGGTGGTGGCCATTGCGGCCCGGGTTTGCGCGGTGGTTGTTGTGTGGGTGTCTGTTTCTCTGGGTCGGGGGGAGGCGGAGACTCGAGGGGGTTCGTGGTCACTCTCTCTTCACTCTATCAGATATTCCCGGGATTCGATAGAGAGGGCGGAGGAGGAATAGCAATTGGGTGGAATGGGGTGGGGTGGTGGGGTGGTGGTGAATTCTTGTTGAAGTTGGCTCTCACACACACCTGGGAAAGTCGAATAGGCAGTTTGGAGATCTTGAAGGCGGATCAATTTTTCGACGGTTTCCCCGAACGGACGGGGCGGTCGATTCCGCCCGCCGCCTTTCTTCTGGGCGGACCACCGACCGACAGTTAAGCCACCTTGTGTTTGCTGCACTCCGTCTGCTTGCTTGCATCAATCGCTGCGGCGTGCGATCAGCTTCCCTACTGCTGCTACTGCTCTTACGCACTGCACTCTCTTCCCCTCACTCCAGCACATTACGTCGTTTGCGATACTTATTTTCTTTTACTTGTTCTCTTCTTCTCTCTCTCTTTCTGTTGACTGTGGAATTAAGAAGCTAGTCGCTTTTGCTAGATACCCAATTCTAATTGTCGTCATTTCATCTGATCCTTCTTCCCTTCCTCTACTCCATCCTTGTCTAGGATGATCGGATCAATACCGCCTTCGCAGTGCGACAGCTAAGCTTGCCTTGCTTTCCCTTTGACCTGCCCGCGATGGCCGATGACAATGCAGGCGGTCGCCGTGAAAGACCTTGGCATTTCCCTCTGGTATCTTCTTGCCGTGTTATGTTGCTTGTGTATATCCTCGGGCCAGACAACTGACTACTGTCTTGTTCAGAATCGCAAGCTGCGACATCTCCAGAGCATTTCCGTTCGCAACCTCGTCGTCACGCCACCACCACCCAAACCTCGCGGGAAACCCATTGATGACGAAGATGTACCCAATTCCCTGCAGTCGCCTTCCAAAGTCCCGATCGCCGATGTAAACCATTCCCTGCACCCTTCGCGCTCCTTTACCGATCTGAAGTCGTCGGGAACCACCAACCATCGTTCCGGGAGTCATGAGCAGGCAGCAACAACACCACCACCAGCAGCAGCAGCAGCAGCAGCAGCAGGAGGCCCCCCATTGCGACAATGGCATCGGAGGAATACCATGCCTTGGAATGCTCCCAACCCTCGCGCGAGACAGACGAAGCTGGAAGAGATTACCAGCAGTCGCATGGCTGATACCTGGTTCTCCCTCCATTGCGACGGGATCGAGGAGCCGGTCTACGTGAGCGAACCGGTGGAGCATGCTACGAACCCCAGCTTCCGGTCGTTCGATCTCAACATGTGCGGTCCCTCGGTGTCACGACGGGATCATCTGACTGTCAAGCTCTGGGCCAAGACCCGAGCAATGGGGGACTTTGTGCTGCTGGTGGAACTGCGTTTATGCTTGCAGTCACTCCAGTTCCTGGGGAAGTCGCTGGATAGCTTCCATCAGCCGCTGCCGGCGAACTCCATCCTCTTCCACTTTGCCGACGGTGTGTACACGAATCTGACCGATATCCCGCCGGTCCTGGCTGCTGTGCCCGTACACCACGCCAAAGCGGCAGATGGCGTGGCGATGTCGACCTCGTCGTACGAGGCGCTCATGAAACTGGCCAATCTGGACGAGTGCATCCAGGATGCGCTCACGACCAGGGACCGGATTGAGGCGCAGATCAACTCGATCCTCGAGAGGGAGCAGCGCGGGGTGACCGCCGCCGGAAATTTCTCGCAGGCTCAGAACAAACTCGCCGTCACCAAGCATGCCATTGCTGCCGAGCGCAAGCATCTCCACAGTGCTGCAAGGCGAAGGGATGAATTGGTCAATAGCATCAAGACCAGAAGAGTGGCCATGGAGCATGGGCGTGATGTCCAAGCCAAGGCCAAGAGCCACCTTCCCGATGCGCAATCGAAACTGAGCTCAAGTGCCAGGCTACTGGACAAGAACACCGAGGATTCCAAGGGTCAGATCCGGCGTATCTCGGAGGACTTGCTGGCGGTCTACCCGATCGAGCCCATCCCCAACAAACCACTTGCCTTCACCATCGCAGGCCTGGCTCTACCCAACTCGGATTTTACCGACGTCGACCGCGATGAGGTGGCGGCGGCTCTTGGATATACCGCCCACCTAGTCTACCTTCTCTCCTTCTATCTCTCCACCCCGATCCCCTACCCGATCAATCCGTATCTGTCGCGCTCGTTCATCCAGGACCCGGTGTCTGCATCGCTGCCCCAGAGGACCTTCCCGCTCCACCCGGCCAGCGTGCAGTACCGATTCGAGTACGGCGTATTTCTGCTGAACAAGAACATCGAGTTCTTGCTGAATATACAGGGTCTACGCGTCCTGGACATCCGCCATACCCTTCCTAATCTCAAATATCTGCTCTACGTGCTCACGGCCGGCACGTCGGAGATTCCGGCTCGCAAGGCGGGAGGCATCCGCGGGCTTCTCCCAGGACGATTGACACCCAGCATGTCTCGACGCGGCAGCGAAGACAGCGTGGCGACGCGCGCGTCGGTCGTATCTCGCAAGGCGATGATGAGTCCCGCCCCGAAGATGAACGGGAGTCTGGTGATTGATCGGACCAAACCGACGACGACCATCCCTAGCTTCCCCGACACGGCTGCGTCTTCGGTTGCCTGAGCAGAGCGCAAGTGCCTGCCAACATTGACTCTGGAGTGAATGCTTGGCCCTTTTTGTAAATCCCGGGGAGGGGGAGGTGGGCGCATATTATCTAATATTTCTACTTGTTGGCGTAAGACATGAGTCTGTTTTGTGTTTCTTCTTCTCTTGGTCTAAAATTCTCTTCTATCGGATGAATTCCATTGGGGAGTGCTGCATCACTTGGATTAGCGTGACTGTGATTGGGGGGTTTGGTTCAGTTCCCTTGATCCGCCTAATCGCAGACGGCCATTGCACAGATGAGGGCGGTAGGTCTCTTTCTCACCTCCCCAGCTTTGTTCGTGTACTGTACATATATGATCCAGTTGGATGTCCTGGGTATCCACTGTATCTGTAGGATGTGAAAGACTATTGACCGACCTGCAATGCAGCCCGTGAAGCATATGTACATTCGGCAGTCACCGCTGGTCATTTTCCCCCCATCCAGGCGGTTATGGATCCCGTGATCAATGATGAGTAGGAATAGCTAGCCCGGAGTTTATTGGGATTACGATTGATAACAGATACAAGCCAGCATTCAGTCAGAGGCTGGCGATTTGTTTTTACCCCGCATTCTCAGCTGACGGAAGAACTGTCCGGGTGGTGTTGGTTCGAGATGGTGCATCTTGAAGGGCCTAAGTTAATGTAATGAATGAATGAATGTTGTTGCTACTGTTCTGGGGGAAAAGGAGAATTAGTGTGTTGTTCAATGGTTGAAACTTGATTTCTTGTTTTTCTCCATTCTCTCTCACTCTCTCACTCTCTCTTATTCTCCGCATTTTGAGAGAAGGTCGCATCTCCACTGGCTTCTTTGCCTTTCTTTTGCGGTCTCTGGAGAGAGACTAAGGTAAACTTTCCGAGGGAAAGTGAGTGAGTGAGTGGGTGTGTGTGTGGGTTGGGTTGGTGAGAGGATCAGAGAGCACTGCAGGACTAAAGCGAGAAAGAGAGATAAGGGAAAAAGAAAGGAAAGATTGCTGCTGCTGCTGCCTGGGGCCAGAAAGACCACAACAAACGGTTGTGGTGCTACTGCTACTGCTGCTGGTTCTTCTGTTGCTGTTCCCGGCCTTTCTCTCTCTCTCCCCGTCCTCCCTTATTATTATTGTTCCTCCTCCCTCTCCCGCCCTTTCGGTCACTGTCCGTACTCCGACATAGGAGACTCATCATGGCAGCACCTGCGAATACCGGCCCTCAGGAGCCTCTCTATTCGCACAACGGGCAAGACCAGAGTCAGAAGTCTCCATCGCCCCAGTCCCAGTCCTTGTCCCTGTCCCAGGCCCAGTCTCAGCATCGTCGTGGATACCAGGCCTGCGACCCGTGCCGAAAGCGCAAGGTGAAGTGCGACCTTGGCAGTAAGAGAGATCCCCTCCCCTCCATTTTTTTCTTACCATTTTCATTTGTGTTCCCCAGAATTCTCACTAGAATTATGCGGTCGCGAATGTTTATTGTATTGGAGAAATACTGATTTCTTGGATTATCATCTCCTCAGGCGTGGATAATCCCCGTCCTCCTCCGTGTGTGCGATGTCGCCGCGAAAGCAAACGTTGCGAGTTCTCCGCGACGAGGCGCAAGCGCAAGCCCTCGGACGCAGACGAGACGGAGGATGCCCTTCGTCGCGATAAGCGGATGATGGTCGGAGAGGTCATCTCCAGCCACGGCTCAAACAACAGCGATGGTTCGCCGTATATACCCTCACTGGAGCATGCGTCCTCTTCGGTTGCTACTGCTGCTGCTGCCACTACTGCTGCTGCGGCACGTACGGCGCTAGACAACAACAATCACACCCCCGGCCATCCGCGACTCAAGTGGTCGGAAAGCTCACCTACGGCTGGTCAATTACCACCACCATCGGTCGGCAGCCACCATCAGCGTTACACTACTACCACCCCCACCACTTCCACCACCAATCCGACCTCCACCTCCACCAATAAACCCCAGTCCACGCCCGCAGCAGCGCTTTTTGCGGATGCGCGGAGTAACCGTCTGTCGGTCTTCTCGGCCGCGGAGAGGAGCCATGCGCCCAGTTTTAGCCTCGAGGGCGGCCAGCCCATGATGAACCGCACCGCCGTCGAGCTGCTGTCGCCGGCCATCAGCAACAGTCACGACGCCCTGCACCTCCTGTCCGAAGCCGCTGGGCGCACCGAAGACCTCAATCGCCAGAGTCTGGAGAATCGATACGGAGCGCGCCAGTCGGTTTCCTCGTTTAACTCCCCCATGTCTCCGCTCACCCAGGCGGGCACTCCGCGCAGTGCGGGCGGATCGTTTTCGAGACCCCAGCGGTCCGGCACCGTCCCCGTTGGGGGTGGTTATTACCAGGCTGGTGGCGCCGGGGCGATGGAAGGTGCGCAGCATCCGGATGGGCGTGGGCAGGCGGACGCGACGGAGAATGCGCCGGACCCCGGGTTCGTAGATGCGGTCCGGGCATGGTCGCGATTGCGCTTCGTTCGGGCCGGCTGGCTGTCGGTGGAAGAGGCTATGGCCTACGTCGCATAGTATGTATTTTGGTTGCTTTGGTGGACAACTCTCCCTCGTACTGATGGATACGGCAGCTACTACGAACACCTTGCTCCCTTGAGTCCGATCGTGATCCCGGACTTCTCGCACCCGTCGACGCATCGGAGTCTGCTTACGGATGAGCCGGTTCTGGCGGTGGCGATCTTGACGACCGCGTCGCGACATATGAAGCCGAAAGGCGACGGGGCTTATACACGGGCGTTCTACATCCACGATCGGCTTTGGTCGTATCTCCGCGGTATGATCGAGCGTCTCTTCTGGGGCCAGGAGAAATTTGACAATAACGGCATGGGGATCAGCCGGCCGAGGTCGTTCGACCTTGCGCCTACTTCTGCCAAGGGGAACCACAAGGGGAATCTGCGGTCGCTCGGTACCATCGAAGCGCTGCTGATCCTGACCGACTGGCATCCTCGAAATCTCCATTTCCCCCCGGGTGACGACGAGAACGCTCTCCTGGATCTGGATGCTCACACGCAGAGTCGATACGAGCGCGAGCTGGAAACGGATACGGAGAACACGGCGAATCGTGCCCCCAACAACGCTGCGGAGGGTCGGCTCGCCTTCCAGAAATGGCTCGAACCCGCCTGGCGGTCGGATCGCATGGCTTGGATGCTGCTGAGTACCGCGCAGGCGCTGGCCTTCGAGCTTGGAGTCTTCGATCAGAAGAACGACGCCAAAGCTGCCGTCGAACCTTTATCCGAGCAGACCCGCAAACGCCGACTCCGCCGTCTGATCCTCGTCTACATCACGCAGAGCAGTGGCCGCTTGGGAATCCCGTCTATGCTACCCCTTCCGCAGTGGACCAGTGACATTCAACCGACTCCCGTGACGGGCGCGAAGGGCAGTGATACCATCGTCGATCGCATGCATGACTGCTGGATCGGCATCTCCAAGATCATGTATCAGAGCAATCAGCTGCTTTTCGCGTCGAACGAGCAGACCTCGGAGCTTATCCGGAGTGGACGGTACCGGGATCAGATCGATCGGTTCCAGCCTTTCTTGAGGGAATGGCGACATAACATCGATACCATTGATTGTAAGTGTCATTCTTGGGGTCTGAGATGAAAGATGCTAATTGCATCAGTGGCGCCCCCTATGAGGAACATCCTGATGATTGAATATGAGTATACCCGTGAGTTGCCCTGTGCTGTGTTCTAAGGTATCGTGACTGACGGCCCAGGGCTCTACGTCAACTCCCTGGCGCTCCAGGCGGTGGTGGATCGGTGGACGACGATGACGAACGAAGCGGCCCAGAGCCAGATGTCACGACCGACTGCGGGCCCGTCGGCGAGCGGTGTTGGGTTTCACGTGCTCATGGAGCTGTATCGGGTCAACGAGCCCTACATTCAAGAGGTGGTCGATGCATCGCGCAAGATTTTGCAGACGGTGCTGGAGGTGCTTGTCCCCGGGGACCATCTCAAGCACGCCCCGGTGCGGACGTGTTTCCGCATTCTGTCGGGGATGATCTTCATTCTCAAGGTACGTACAGTGTGCGTCTAGGCGCCGACGGAATCCGCGCTGACATTGCATCCCTAGACCTTCACTCTGGGTGCCAAGGAGGATGATGTGCGTGTGTCCCTGGACCTCCAGGACCGCACCATCGAGGCGCTGCGGACGTGCGTGGTGGACGACGTGCACCTCAACCATGCCATTGCGCGACTGCTAGAGTTGCTGACGACCAGTATCCGCACACGCTTCCTCCGGTTCGCGCCGCTGGACCGCGGTGGGGACGGGGAGCAGGAGCGGCCGTCGGCGCCGGTGTCACGACACCAGTCGCCGCGGCCGCGCGACGGAGCCCCGGGCCGTCGCGAGGGGTCCAGTCACACCTGGACGCCGGCGCAGCAGACCACGCCGGCGCAGAACCTGGGGTATGTCGACGGGACGAGCCAGACGGGGACCAGCATGAGTTCCTCGGTGCATGACCCCCTGGCGGCGATTCCGGCGCAGTCGATCAACTCCTCGCACATCAACGTCTCGTTCATGCCCCCTCCGCCGTCCATGTACCACAACTACTACGACCCCAGCGCGACCCCGCCTGCAGGGGAGATGGAAGGGGGAGTAGCTGCTGCCTCGACGACGACCAACAACAACAATCACAGCCACAACAACAACAACGTCACGGCGTCGCAGTCGATGCCCGACAACAACCCCAGCACCTCCGGCGGACTCCCGGACTGGTTCGCGCTCCCGCTGGATCAGTTCTTCAACAGCTCCACCGCGGTGGTGGACCAGGGGCTGGGCGGCACGGGACCGATGGTGGGGGAATTCGACATGTTGGAGGTTTTGCTCAATGAACAGTATGACGGCGTTGGGGTTGGACCCGAGGGGGGTGATGCTGCCGCGGCCGCGGCCGCGGCCGCCAACCTCCCCTCGCAGTTTTTGTCCTCGTGAGATACGAAGTATTTTTGGGGGGGAGTGTAATTATGAGATAAGATGCAGAGCCGAGGGGTATGACTGTACGAATTACGATATTATAGTTTTTGTGTGTATGTGTGTGTATGTGTGTGTATCTCGATTAGCTAGTTAGCTAGGTCTGTCTGGGGTTGTATTGTATTGTAGTTACAATCTACTGCTGCTGCAGCTGCAGCTGCAGGTCTCAGATGCGTCATTTCGGGACCCGGTTACCTCACGCATTGTTATCATTTTTAGTCGGGATGAGGTTATCAGGGGTTTATCAGTTGCGATATCTCCTGATACTTACGGTACGTATGTTAGTTGATTCCAGTAGTCCCTGTGGTGTCGGGGTCTGGTGAGGTGGGGTAGGGTGGGGGGGGTTCAAGAGGGGGGTAATAGTTTAGCAGGTAGCAGGTAGGAGGTAGGAGGTAGGAGGCACTGTACACCTACTATACACCTACTATAGGCATTTAATCTAAATCCCAGGGTCCAATAACTCATCTTCATATTCTTGTTCACAAAGTTCACAACAGCGCTAAACAATGACTTGTTCCTGAAGTCCGAACAAAACCCCGTCTCTTCAATACCATTGGTATATCGCGAAAGCAGCGATGTGACCCTGACACCGACAGTATTCAGGAGAGAATGCTCCGTATTCAGCTCCCCCCATGCATTTTCTTATCAGCAGCGACTCTCAATCGGAGTCCCGTTGGTTGGTTTTCACTCCTAGAAGGAATGGAGAGAAGTGCACTGCAGTGTGGGCCAGGGAAGGGGGGGAAATCAGGGTCTCGAGTCATCCATTCATTCATTCACTCATTTGCTGCAGCCCGCGGGCAGCCTTGCTACGTACTAGGTAGGTAGGTAATTTCCCCCCCCCCCCCCCCCCTCGCCCCTGCAGGAAGCATATCAGAGGGCACTGCATCAGACAGACCCTGCAGGATTTGGATTTGTGCCGATCGGGTGGGGATCGACGGGTCGTGATTGGGGGGATGGGATTGGGTTAAGTTGGTTGGTTGGACTTGCAGCTAGCCTAAGGTCGTCGACGATGTGGCCATTGGCCGCCGCGTTGCAGTGACTGTTAGTTAGCGTTGACTCTCGAGTTGTTGAAGGCAAGCGTGAGGGGGGTACTGTTGATGAAAACCGGAGGCTGCCGAGGCCGAGGTCGAACTTCTCCGTTGCGCAACGCATGAGAGGGAGGGTTGGCTTAGGTTATGTTGCATTGCATAGATTGTTACCCACTTCGGAAGGACAGGGGTCGGGAGCACCGTCGGAGGTTGGGTCTGGGCATTTTGGTTCAGTTTAGTTTATTTAACTTGATTTATTACTCTGTAGATAGGTAGATGGTAGATAGTCTAAGGGTCTTGGAGTAACTTGGGCGTGGCTGGCTGCGGTCTGGAACTACGCCGGGAAGCACCGTTGTTAGGGCTTCTTAGGGTTTACTTGGGGTACTGTACTTACTGAACTCGATCTATTCTGTACGGGATACTCGATCGTCGCGGATTTTCTATGATACGAAGAGGGTTTAAATTCAAGATGGTCTATAATGTTTCCAGTGCGTGATGAGTTACTGACTCTATTCGCAAGGGGTCCTGACTGTTTGGAGACAGTCTAGTTCAGGTACCGTACCAGACAGAAGAGGGGCAACGGAAAGGAAAGAAAGATCCCTGAGTGTTCCGGAGTCCGTTCGAACGTCCGTCTCTCTCCCACAACCCTACCTCCATACACTTCACCTAAAAGTATATTCCTTGAAGAAGACGGGGGGTGGCGATGACTTGGAGCGTGAGGATTGACGCAAGCAATTCTTGGTATTCTTGGTCTTCTGGTGAAGACTGCAGAAGTTCTTATCCCCAATCAAGCTCCTCACGAAGGATTGCCAGGTACGGGCAGTCTGACGCTCGCCGGTGAGTGGTTCCTAGTCATATAGTCTCGTGCTTGGCGCACTGCCGGACAATCGGGGGGAATAACCTCATGCGGATAAGGCTGGCCATTGGACCATCCCCCCCCCCACTAGATTAGCGGCGATGATCGTCGGTCTTTGCTTCCTGATGAATTGGTGGTGCTCCGGTCTCCGTTGGCGTGATTGAGGGGAGTGAGACATTTCGATATTACCCTGGACGGTAGTATACACTCGGCGAGATAGAGCACTCGTGCGTGGATGAGGATGTATGCAGAGTGTAAGGACTGAGCATGTACAGCACGGCTGCAGAAGGTATAAAGAGCACTTTGAAACCCGCGTCAATTGAGATTCTCTTCTTCATCCAGCAGCAGCATCAACCGCACAGCAGCAGCAGGTCCTTCTCCTTCTCTTCCTCCTTGTGATATTTGCCTGAACATCTCCCACCATGGTCGTCCTCAACAAGGCTGCAGCCCTTCTTCTGGGTCTGACCACCGCCGCCACCGCGGCTCCCCTGGCCGAGACGCAGGCTTCTGTCCCCGTCAAGAACTTCTCCGTCAAGCAGGTCGAGAAGGAGGGCAGCAAGGGACGTACCGTCAACCTGCCGGGTCTGTATGCCAACGCGCTGGCCAAGTACGGCGCCCAGGTGCCGGCCAGCGTCAAGGCCGCCGCCGTCAGTGGCAGCGTCGTGACCACCCCCCAGGCCAACGACGTCTCCTACCTGACCCCCGTCACCGTGGGCAGCTCGACCTTGAACCTGGACTTCGACACCGGATCCGCCGACCTCTGGGTGTTTTCCTCGGAGCTGGCCGCCTCGTCGCGCACCGGCCACAGCATCTACACCCCCGGCAGCACCGCCCAGAAGCTGTCCGGCTACAGCTGGAGCATCTCCTACGGCGACGGCAGCTCCGCCAGCGGCGACGTCTACAAGGACAAGGTCACCGTCGGCACGGTGACGGCCAGCAGCCAGGCCGTCGAGGCCGCCAGCCGCATCAGCTCCGAGTTCGTCCAGGACACCGACACCGACGGTCTGTTGGGTCTGGCCTTCAGCTCGATCAACACGGGTATGTCTTCTTCTCTCGGCTGGATCTTCACCTGTACTAATCCCGCGGTGCAGTCTCCCCCCGGGCCCAGACCACCTTCTTCGACACCGTCAAGTCCAGCCTGGACAGCCCCCTCTTCGCCGTCGACCTGAAGTACCACGCCGCCGGCACCTACGACTTCGGCTTCATCGACTCCTCCAAGTACACCGGCTCGCTGACCTACGCCAACGTCGACGACTCCCAGGGCTTCTGGCAGTTCACCGCCAGCGGCTACAGCGTGGGCTCGGCGTCCCACTCCTCTTCGTTCTCTGCTATTGCTGGTACGTTGCGTCCCTGCCACCTCCCCCTCTCCCCCCCCCCCCCCCTCAAATACTGATTGGGGCGAACAGACACCGGCACCACCCTCATCCTCCTCGACGACTCCATCGTCTCCACCTACTACAGCAGCGTGCGCGGCGCCTCCTACAGCTACAACTACGGCGGCTACGTCTTCGCCTGCTCCACCTCCCTGCCCGATTTCAGCGTCAAGATCGGCTCCTACACCGCCGTCGTCCCCGGCAAGTACATCAACTACGCCCCCATCACCACCGGCAGCTCCACCTGCTACGGTGGCATCCAGTCCAACGAGGGTCTCGGTCTGTCCATCCTGGGTGACGTCTTCCTCAAGAGCCAGTACGTCGTCTTCGACTCGCAGGGCCCGAGAATCGGGTTCGCAGCGCAGGCTTAGATCTGATTCTGAGGGATGTGTGGATGTGAGTGATGCTTGGTGAGGCTGGGTTGTGGTCTGATGGGGGAGGTGGGGGCTGTGGATATGGTACTGTATATAGTACTGAACATAGGCGGTGGTGAACATATGATCTGGTTGATGAATATATGGCCTTTGATGTTTATGGTTTTGCACATGAATGGATGTTGATGCTGTGTCATCTTTTTGCAGTAGTGGGGTTGGAGGTAGGACTGTACTGTACTGTACTGTACTTCGCGGAATGGAGCTACAGGGTCCATGGAACTTGCTGAATAGTGGTCAATTTTCCATCATCATTTCCTCTCATCTAGGCGTACGCAGAGGAGTATTGACGCAGGTAAAGGATCAAGATAAAGACCCAGGCGAGCTCGTGGATACAGCATCCCAGCCATCAGCAGCGTCACAGCGGAGACGGGCGTCAAAGAGGATCAGATATCTACGACCCTTCATGGAACCTGACGCCACTTAGCTAGGCTGTCTTATTGGAGATGAGTGTATCTGTGGTTATATGCTGGCTGATAGTATTATGTATGCCTCAATGTAACCCGACGCGGTCTTCCAGAGTGAGTCTGTGATATTCAAGGCTGCAAACACTTTAAGGTTATATTTAGCAGGTAAATACAAATATAATATAAGCGCCCGGATGGTCTAGTGGTATGATTCTCGCTTTGGGTATTACAGCTTAAATGCGAGAGGCCCCGCGTTCGAATCGCGGTTCGGGCCACTTCTTTTTTGCTTTTTGCTTTGTGTTCCTTTTTTCGGCTCGGGTACCGTATCAAACAGGACATGATATTATATGTTTTTGGTGGTGTGGCTATCTTTATTTACTTGTTGTCGTCTGGTCTAGTACCGAGTCTTGGACTTTTGTGGTCCTTCCAAACGGGAGGAATGCTAGTTCAGGTGGTCCTGCTTGTTGGTTCGCCATGGTTCTGCCAGGTACTGTATGTTCAGTGGGGAAGAGCGGGATGGCAATACATATATACTTCGGCTCCTGCTGTGCTTAACCATCTGAGACTCACCCATCACCCCAGTTAGTATGCTATCCTAGCCCGTACACCTCAACTCTTTATCGAGTTGTTAAACCTGTATCTGCGATGGAATAGCTGCAGGTGCTGCCGTAGATGATCTTTTCGGTGCAATAGAGCGCAACTGTTTTACGTCCTGCGAAGCGCCCTCCGGGCTCCCCACAGGCACCACCCAGTTATTAGTGCAGTCACTGCAGCGCGACCCTTGTGGGGCTGTGGAAGCCCGTAATACGTACTTACCAAGTTCAGCCCGTCGAACCAGTTTGTTCATTCAATTTGTATCTCTTCACGGACCCACAACAACCACGAACCCGACAATATGACGCGCGACGATACACCAGTCTCCCTAGGTAGGGTTCCTCTACTCAAGGAGAAGATCTGAAGGTTCTTTCTGGGAGCTTCCTTAAAGATCTCACTATCTCTTTGATTTTTCTTTTCTCTCTCTTTTACCGGTCGAGAATGAGCAAGTCACTGTCGATCGGATACTAATAGGTGTGCGTTCTTTTAGGCATATTGGGGCAGTATTATTCCGCTCGACACGCTTTAGGGCAATACCGCTCAGCTGGAGTTACAGCGGCGTATTCTGTCTCATTGAAGGAAAGCCCTGAGCTGCTTCTGCGCGTTCGGTTCGCTCTAGAACGGAGCATCCAGGCAACGGTTCGACAACATCCTGGTTTATGTTTTGGCGTCTCAGATGAGAAGAGCGCGGGCATCCCCCTGTTCAAGCAATTGCATCACATCGACCGAGAGGATGTGCTTGAGATTATCCCTTTCCGTGATGCTACGTCAATGAGTGACGAATCGGGTGATTCAACAGCAGATACTATACTGTCTCAGGTTCTCGGTGACCGGCACGGCGCAATCTGGCCCAGTAACAAACCAGCCTGGAGGGTTGTCGTGTTAGAACACCTGCGTGACCAAAACGGCCCGAACACGAATCAAGCTGTTCTGGCGAGGCTTGACATCGCCTTTCTTGCACACCACGCTATTGCGGATGGGCTCAGCGGCTTATCCTTCCACGAGTCCCTGATGGAAAACCTGCCCGATATCTCAGCATCAGCCTCGCCACCAACTTGGCCCATAGCCGTCAGTGAGACCCTGGAGGCGCCAGCTCCCGTTGAAGAGCGTGTGGCCTGTCTCTCGTGTACCTGCGCTCTCTGCGATGCTCCCCCATCCTGCTACGAACCAGTGTGGGCAGGGGCTGCTGTACCCCCGGGGCCAACGGCGCGCTTCGAATCTATGGTTCGAGTGGTGACGATCCCAGCCGATAGGCTGTCGGGCGTCTTGGGAAGGTGCAAGCGGTCTAACATCACGCTGACCGGACTCCTACACGCGTTGATCTGTGCCTCTCTCCGCCGTCGGATCGCCGAGGACCACCGCGGCTTTCGAGCCGTGACGCCCTTCTCGGTGCGCCGGCACACCCAGGCATCTGCTGGTGATATGGTCAACCACATCTCCTACTTGACTAGCTACGTACCCCGTGCCCAGCTGGATGAGATGGACCAGTGTGCGCACGGCTCCGCCGCCGAGGAGCGCGCGATCGTGGAACTGGCCCAGTCATTCGGCCGAGACATAGGAACAACGGTGCGCGAATACCCTCATGGCAGCATGGTGGGACAGCTTGCCCGCATCGAAGACCTCCTCTCGCACTGTCGAGATCAACCCGGCCAACAGAGGCAGTATACGTACGAGCTATCGAACCTGGGCCGAGCCCCCATGGTTGCTCCAGTGGCGGGGAATGGCCTGGAGCTCGAGAAGGTGGTCTTTACGCAATGTGGTATGGTTACTGGTCCCGCACTGGGGTTCAATTGTGTGAGCGTGCGTGGGGGGCCTCTTACAGTCAGCATTACTTGGCAGCGGGGGGTGGTCGAGGAAGCACTCGTGGAACAGGTGGCGCGTGATTTAGAGACGATGTAGCGCCGCGACTTTGATAGCTTCGGTTGGCTCAGATCGAGAAAGGGGGGGGGGGTGAGAGATACATCACCGAAATGATTACTCGCGGTGTTGCCAAATTTGTGCGGGGACTCTACCTAGGTAGCGGGAAGAAAAGAAGACGGGAAAGTAGCGTTCGCAAACAGCCCGATCAGACCAGGTCAAAGAGAATCTATAAGTCTCCTATCCGTTTCGGCTAAACCGACTTGGACTGTTATCGGATGCTGGGTGTGTCGTCGACAATTGCCCGTTCGGGATGATGAGCAGCTGCGGCTGGACTGGAAAGCAGTTGGGGTTATTTCTTTTTGGGCATATGAACGGTGAGGAACCATTTCACGGGCTAGAATGGTGATATTTACTCACTCACTTGGGTCAAGACGTGCAATGCACTCGAGGGCAAGGGGGGGGGGGGGGGGCTCTAAAAGCAATATTCATGCGAGAAGCCGAGTACGCAGGCGATAGGTAGTAATAGCAAGGCCGGAGTCGGGATCCTTGAGCATGACATTCATTCACCAGTGGTATTGTTTGCAGTATAGCTACCCATTCTCATAACTCTGAACGGCTATCGATCCCTCTGAAATAAATGCGTTTAAAAAAAATAAGGACTCGGAGCCAGAAAGATCCAAATCTGAGAACCCCGAAGTGGTACACAAGATGGATGTGGTTGATCTTTCACCTTCGGGTTTTTGCCTGGGTGGACCATTCAGACACTTTTGTGTAGGTCTGTGTTCAAGAATAAGAGAGGTTTTTCGGTCTATGATTAGCTCCAACGTGGGGACTGATATATCGAACGACGGCGGACGAGTGTACGACCATGATCGACAACCTCGGTACTTGATATATGTTGCACACGGCCGGAGCTCTCCAAGAGTCCATTTGTGGGGTGAGCACCAATACTCGGTATGCCCTACCCACCAGTCTATCCTAAGTAATTAGTTCTCCATCGAATATAGGTAAGTGGCAGGACTCAAGTACTTATACAGTCATCTGTCATCTAACTCCAAGTACAACCGCTTCACAGACAACAACACAATAATGGATTGCCCCGTTGATGTGACTACAAATCCAGCCCATGACATCATCAAGCCCGGGTGGTCTAGTGGTATGATTCTCGCTTAGGGATTCCAAACCCAAGCATATCTGCGAGAGGTCCCGCGTTCGATCCGCGGCTCGGGCCTTGTTTCTTTTGTTTTTGTTTTCCTCGACCTGTCTGAAGTTCAAATGGTGATGAGGCAAGCAAGTCAGCTTGTGACATCATAAGAGCCCGGATGGTCTAGTGGTATGATTCTCGCTTTGGGATCCACATCTGAAATGCGAGAGGCCCCGCGTTCGAATCGCGGTTCGGGCCACTCTTTTTGTTTTCCTCACGTCATCTGCTTGGGATGATTGGAGGTGAGGGGTGTGGATTTGTGTTTTGTTACTGATGACGGGCGTAGCGGTTGGGTAGGCTGCAATTGCATATCATTCCCCAAAACGTCAGTGCCCATTTACTATGGCTCCGGGAAACTCCCTTCCAAGAGGACGGATGGAGACATCTAAGATCAGATTCTTATCACTATCGCTCTATGTTACAGTACAGCAATTACCCCACGCCCATCTCACTCAATCTAGTACCCATATAACACCCACTAAATATCGAATTCTCCACAATCAATGTAATCATTAGTCATGAACCCAGCCCGCGGACCTTGACAAGTATAAGATTATGTGTGGCACTAAGAATGCACAGCCCCCGTGTTTGCGCTGACCCTAAAACGAGCCGTAGTATTCCTCGAACTCATCCTCCGGTTCAGCGGCCGCCCCTTTCCCGGCCTTCGGCTTCAGGACGTCGGTGATGCTGACCAGCTTGGAGTAGAAGTCGATGACCCGGGGGTGGACCATGACCTTGCGGGGCTCGAACCGCGTAACCTGCAGGCCCGCCTTGGAGGTTGCGCGACTCAGCGCGACGTACGCCTGGCCCTTCTCGAACACCTTGCCCAGATCGACCTTGACGCGCTGCAGGGTCTGGCCCTGCGCCTTGTGGATGGACAGCGCCCACGCCAGGATCAGCGGCACCTGCTGGCGCTGCGCCTGCACCTCGCCGTTGGGCAGCTCGATCTTCCACGTCTCGGGCTGGCAGAGCAGATGCCGCTCCGTGCCGTCGGGCTGCACGAAGCACACCAGCGGCCACTTGCGCGTCGTCACGGCGGCGGCAGCCGTGCCGTCCTTGTGGGCCAGCGGCTTGAGCTTCTTGCGGGCCCGCGCCATGATCGCGTCGTCGTTGTCGATGTCAATGTCCCCCTCCCCACCATCGGCCTTATTCCCGCCCGAGAATTCGTTCTCGTTCTCGATGTAGTAGTCGAAGGTCGCCTCGTCCATGAACGCCACCACCCGCCCGATCGACCCGTTCACCAGCGTGTCCTCCATGTTCTTGATCAGCATCACCTGCGCCCCCTTCTTCAGGTGGATCACCGGCGGCGCCATGCAGTTGGAGAGGAGCTTCTCGCGGAACTGCGGGTCCTGGATCGTCCCCGTGTCCTGCGCGTTGAAGGTCATCACTTCGCCCGAGAGTCGGTTCATGCGCGCACTGTTCGCGTGGTCGACCTCTTGCCGGGTGGGGAATCTAGCCGGCTGTCAATATCATGTCTTGTCTTACAGAGGGAAAGAAAGAGCCTACAGCTCAGTAGCCTCGAGAGCGTCGTGGAAGTTCAGCGGCCGAGAAAGCTGCTTGAAGGTTTCGATCGTGCGCGGGGTCAATTTGCCCAGTCGCATCTCGTTCAGCATGTCGGCGAACTCCGGGTCCTTCTGACGGAAGATGTGAGTGAGCAGGATCGTATGTTGAATCGAGGTGTTCCAGGTCGAGGCCGCGAAGGCGAACTTGGCCTCGCGGTTGCCGCCCTCAGGCACCGGGGGCAGCTGGAAGAAATCGCCGGTCACGACGAGCTGGATCCCTCCGAACGGACGGCCGTTGTTGCGGATCAGTCGGGCCACTTCCTCCAGTTTGTCGAACAGGTCGCCGTCCACCATGGACACTTCGTCGACGATGAGCACCCTAGTGCGCAGCCAGCGGTTCCGCGCCTTTTGGTTCTTCTTGATCTGTTACGCCGTTAGCCATGTCATCGCCGTCGTTCTTGTGACGAGTGGACTAGACGCTGACCTTCTTGACCAGTTCGGGCACCGGCTCTTTGCCTAAGCCGATCCCTGCAAAGCTGTGCAGCGTCACGCCCTCGATGTTACAAGCGGCGAGGCCGGTCGACGCTGTTACCGCGACCCGATCCGGTTCCCGCTTGTACTTGTCCCGTAGCTTCTTGATGATCTCTCGCATCAGCACCGACTTTCCCGTTCCGGCCGATCCCGTGAAGAAAATACTCTTCCCCTGCTGCACCACGGCGTCCAGAACGTGTCGTTGCTCGTCACTGAGGAAGATCGACGCCACCTGCGCACGGGGTGGTGGCAGCTGGCCCGTCACGAGCGCCTTCATTTCCTTGTTCTGCCGCCGGAGCTCCCTCTGCTCGTCCTTGATCGCGCTCGCGGACTTGTTCCAGATAGCCGTCTGTTTCGGACGCGCGGGCGTCACGGACTTCCGGGGACCCATATCCTCTTCGTCCTCCTCGCCCAGCCATGGCAGTTTCCGGGGTTTCTTGGCAGGCGCCTGGAAGTGGGACGGGGGCGACGAGGACCAGGGGTACTGGATGCTGCTCGAGGGGGGCTGATTGTCGTCGACGGGCATCGGAGGGAGATCGGGGTACTTCACGGCCGACGCCGTATCGCGGGTGGGTGTTTCCGTCAGGTCGACGACGGAGATCTTATCGTCCGCGAACGCGCTGCTCAGGTTCGGGTATCCCGCCATCATATCCTCCTCCTGCTCCTCCTCCTGCTTCTGTGGCTGTTGCTTCGAGATCTTGGGCGGTCTGGCGATCTGCGCAGCAACTGTGGCGGCGGCGGTGACGACGGGGCGAGTGAATGGGTCGGGAGCCTCGAAGTCCAAATCCTCGTCGTCGTCGAAGTCGTTCTCATCGAAGTACACCTCGTCGTGCAGCGACCCCAGCGTCGATGGCGTGCTGGTCATCTCGATCTTCCGCTTGACCCCTAACGACGACGCCGCGGCGGCCGCCGGTGCCACCGGTTTGTGCAGCGGGGCGGCACTGCTGTTGCTGCGAGCACCGAGCGTGGATTGCAGCGGAGCCGCCGGCGCGGCGGGGTATCGGTTGGCAGCTCGCTGGAACATCGTAGGGGTTGGTCCTCGTTCGGACGAAGACAATGGTCGACGGCAAGACGACTGAAGAGGGGGGAGGAGTCGATTCGAGGCGGATCGCGGTAGTATCAATAATGGACCATTGGAAGTGGTGAATTGACGATATGAACCCGATGACGCCCGTACTTGGTGTCTGGCGAGGTGCATATGCTGGCTTCTCGGGGCCGATGGGGTCTCGCGGAGGGAAAGTTCTTGTGGAGGTGGGTTTCTATCCTATCATTGATGGAGGGGGGAGGAGTGGTTTTTTTTTTCGAATTGGAAGTAATCCGCGTACCTCTGGAAATATGCGCGTTTTTGTTGGTTGGATACGCGCCCGCGCCACTCCGGGCCTTATCGCACGTGACATGTCGATAAGCCATTGTGCCCTAAGCACGTGAAAGTTGGTGCTGCAGGAGACATGGTTGTAATTTGGGTTATGTTGGAGTCAACTGATCTGTGATTAAGGTTAGTATTCTTAGTAGAGAGATTCATCGTTTCTCAAGCATAAGCCTAGATAGAGTGAAAGGGGCACCCACTGATACCACCCGGTCACGTGACCACGCATCGCCTTTGCGCGCGATCCGGCGCGAAGTTGGGGAAGCAAACCAAGATTCACCCCATCGCACATGCTGGAGGTCCATTCTGCTCTGCGACCATGAACGATGGCTGAGACTGTGGGCGCAAGTAAGTTCTCTCTGACCAGTACAATCGCAAGCTCAGCACTGACTCACAATGATCTGGAATAGACAAGGAGCATCCTCTCGCCGGGGTGGTCCTCTGCTTCACTTCAATCCTCCCCGAGCAGCGGGTAAAGTCCCCAATCCCACCCACACCTTGATGTCATGGCTCTCCCACACGCACACACACAACAACGGTCATATCCAGCTAATCCTTTCCCCTGCCCTCGAGAATAATAGTCCGAAATCGCCACCGTCGCGAGCCAGATGGGAGCGACCCACAAGTTCGATCTCACCTCCGATGTCACCCACCTGCTGATCGGCGAGGTCAACACGCCCAAGTACAAATTCGTCGCGCGGGAACGGGCCGATGTCACGGTCCTGAAGCCCGACTGGGTCGAGGCGGTGCGTCAGTCGTGGATGCAGGGCGGGGACACGGATATCCGCGCGCTGGAGGCCGCGTACCGATTCCCGGTTTTCGGCGGCTTGTCCATCTGCATCACAGGGTTTGAGGATAGTGAGTAGTTTCCGAGACACGAGACGCATATCCGGCCGGGGATGGGGGGAGGGGCACTTCGTCTAATAACGTTCTGTTTTGCGGTTCTTAGTGTCGGTTCGGAACTACATCCAGGACACCGTCACGGCCCATGGCGCCGAGTTTCGGAAAGACCTCGTGAAAGGCACCAGCCACCTGATCGCGCGGAGCACCGAGGGGGACAAGTACAAGTTCGCGATGCAGTGGGGGATCAAGATCGTGTCGATGAAGTGGCTCACCGACAGTCTCGAGCGGGGGATGGTCCTGGAAGAGGCCCTGTACGACCTGCAACTGCCGTCGGAGCAGCATGGCGTTGGCGCCTGGCATCGAGCCTTGCCCGCGCCCAAGCCCAAGGCCGCGCCGGGGGCCGACAACGAGAACCCGTCAAATAACCCCCGACCCCGGAAACTGCGGCGCATCGCGAGCACGAAGCTGGGAGACCAGAACGAAGGCATCTGGGGCGATATCATTGGCATCGGGTTCGAGGCGGGCGACTTTGGCCGGTCCAAGGGGAGCCAGCAGAGCGAGACCCGGGCCCTGCGGAAAGCCACCTCGGGACTCCAGGAGGTGAAGTCGTTCGCTAGCGAGACGACCATGGCGGAGGTGCAAGAGTCCCGACCACAGCCACCCCCGGAGCCGGTCGCTAGCAAGGACGAAGGGTTTTTGCACGGTTGTTACTTTTACATACATGGGTTCTCGTCGAAACAGGTCTGTCTCGGAGTACAGATGCCATCGGGCTAGATACTAACACGTTTGGCAGACAAATGTGCTACGACACCATCTATCTTTCAACGGGGCACAGTTGGTGGCCTCCTTGGGCGAATTCACCCGATCCGACATTCCGAAAACCGGCCACGGTCTCTACACAATTGTACCCTTCAAGATGACTAAAGCTCAGGTCCCTTCCACCGATGATCTGGCATTCGAATGCGAGGTGGTGACGGATATGTGGCTGGAGAGATGCCTTGACGCGAAAACACTCGTGCCTCCAGAGTCCCACGTCGCAAACACGCCCATCCCCTCATTTCCGGTCGAAGGTAGCTCTCTCGCTTCAAGCTTTGAAACTGTGTTCTGACGGTTGTAGGATTCTCTGGCCTTAAGGTGTGCTCAACCGGGTTCTTCCGTATCGATCTCTTGCACTTGTCCAAGCTTGTCAATCTAATCGGTAAGGGACATTCCGGCTTCATACTAGACCTTGACTAATCCTCTAGGCGCCACATACAATGAGTACCTGACGCCCAAGGCTTCGGTCCTCGTATGCAACGACGCAAGCCCCGTGAACCAGGACAAGCTACGGCACACGCAGGAGTGGGGAGTCCCAGCAGTCTCCGCGGACTGGCTCTGGGCCTCTATTCGCCACGAGAAAAAGCAGCCTTTCGAACCCTATCTCATTCAAAAGCAACCCACCCAGAGTGGCAAGTCTCGGGAGACGCGAGCTGGCTCGCATCCGGAGCAGAACCGGCCATCCTTAACCACCAACCGGACCAGCCAACCAAAATCAAGAGCCGATGGAACGGGTCACTCTTCTCGAGCAACCGACACCAAGGCGAATGAACATCATCCTCAACACGAACCAACGTCACAAGCGAAGCCGGACGAGCACACCCGAGTTCCCACCCCAGTCAAAGAATCACCCATAAAGAAGAACCCGATCTCCGCCTCCCCCACCACCTCCTCACCGCTCAAACGCAAGATCTCCGATGTATCTACCGGCCCGACGGCGCAATCCGTCATCGACCTCGCCGTCAGCGGCCTCATGAAACAGGCCCGCACCCACAGCGCCTCCGAACCCGGGGACGGCCCCGACCGGCCGCGCTCCCGGGCCCGGAAACCGCTCCTCGGACGCGCGCCCTCGAGCCGCACCAACAGCGGCGGCCTCAGCTCCCTCGACCAGCACCCGCAGACGAAGGCGTTCTCGTTCTCGCGCGCCAGCTCCATCGACACCCTCAACGACGACGGCTGTGGCAGCGCCATCTTCGACTCCAACCACCCCGCGGACAGCGGCGGCATCCTCTCCCGCGCGAACAGCACCGCCGCCCGGCTAGAGTACCTGGACATGGAGGGCAGGACCGCCAGCACTTCCATGGTCATGTCCGAGTACGAGCATGAGTACGCGGGCGGGGAGGACGAGAACGAGCCGCCGGCCATGACGCAGCTGGACTACGAGGACCCGGACGCCGTGGCCATGCGCGAGCAGTTCCTGCATCAGGCGGGGAAGGCTGTGGCGAAGAAGAAGAATAGCAACCAGGCTGCCGGCCTCGCGGATCAGCAGCTTGTGTCGGAGTTCCGGGAGCTGGAGAATGCTGGGTGGGGCGGGGGGCGGAGGACGAGACATGGGCAGAAGGCTGTTGGGGAGGGATTTTGATGTTCTGGGATATGGATAGGTTCTTCCCATACTGCCCTTCGGCTGGGGGTTGGGGGTAGTTGTTCGATTGGATCCTGGTAGGGTTGAATATGTTGTTCATGATATGCATGCATGGCGCGGCGTCCTTTCTCACATGCTGAATACATTGTGCTTTTGGTTCCTCATTCGTGCCTGTGCCTGTGCCTGTGGGTCATCATTCTTGTGATCTGAGCGAGAATCTAAAATATTATTTTGAGGACAGTCGTCTCATACAATGAGTACTAAGGGCTCAGATCTCTTGAGGCCGCGTCGTATCGTGCAACTAGCAAGATCTCGAATCAGTTGATCTGTCAGCATCAGCTATGTTCGATCACTGGCAGACATGGTAACGTGGGAAGAGAGGAGAGAAACATCGACGAGCTACTTCATCATCGAAGGCCAAGGAAAACCCCAAGAGTGATTCCCGCCAGTGTCAGCTGCATGGTCCCCTGCAGGGTATGCCGCGCTTCCTCATCCTCGACTGCGTCGCCCCCTGCAACTATCCATAACAACTACCAACTCTCCATTTCTGTCCATTCATGCGCAGAGTCCAGCTCCAGTATGCTTTCTTTCCGTAGATCACTCATCAATCCCAAGCCTCGAAAGCTAATAGCTCCACTATCCATCCTCTGTCGAGGTGAATCACGTTCAAACCACGGACATTACATCTAGTAGTGAACCCTCCTAACCCTCCCAGGCAAACCCATCGCCCGCGAAGAGCTCTTCACCTACACCAATGGGCATTTCCTCATCGACGAAGAAACCCAGGTCCGTCGACGATACCTGAAATTCAACATAGACGCTCTCTGCGATATTGCTGCTCCTGCCGGTGGAAACCGTTCTCCGATAAGAACCATTGAAAAATTCGAGGGAGGGTTCAGCAAAGCCCTTCTGCTGACGAAGGAGAATGGCGATGAGGTTATTGCGAAGATGCCTTATCGGATTTCTGGACCAGCCGCCCTGACTACCGCCTCTGAGGTCGCCGTTGTGCAGTATGGTATGTTTCCCCTTTCTCAGCTTTACAGTCCTTCTTAGTTCTTATATCGGGTACCAGTTAAGAGCCATACGAGCATCCCTGTCCCAGGAGTGCTCTCCTGGTCTTCAGACAGTTCAGACCCCATCGGAGCCGAGTAAATCATCATGGAGAAGGCGGCCGGGGTGCCCGCTGTATGAACGATGGGAGGGGATGGCGGAGCTCGCGAGGCTGGGGCTGACCAGGAATCTGACGAAGCCTGAGGCGCAACTGTCCGCCATTGCATTTCCTGCGTACGGGGGGCTCTATCGGAGGGTTGATGCGGCCCGGATACAACCAGCCACGGCGTGTGTGGACGTAGACTCTTCTGAGCAGTATTGCGTCGGGCCCTCGTGCGATCCTTCGTGGTATGTGGCAGCCACAGATTCAGCTGCCCCCGGGTCTGGAAGCGTTAGCCATGGACCTTGTACGTCCTCACCACAACAGATCGTGTTCTGCGTTAGCTCACCGATCGCCAGGGCGGACACTGTCAGACCCGGGAACATCTATCGCAGAGCGCGAGGGATTGCGGATCACGCACCGAACCTCACCCCCCCGACTGCCATTCCATCAAGGCAGCATTCAAGACCAGACCCAGCTCTTAGAAGCTGCAACGAGTGTATTTCAGCTGATAGACTTGCGCCCATTGATCGGGCAATCTGCCCAGCCCACCCTCTGGCACACCGACCTCCACATGGGCAACATCTTCGTCGCTCCCGACGAGAACTCGCGAATCGTCTCCCTGATCGACTTCCAGTCCTTGTCCTGCCACCCTCTATTCCTCCAAGCCCGGTGGCCGATCTTCCTAAAACCACCAATAAACTACCGCAAGGGGTTAATCGACCCCAAACTCCCGGATGGATTCACCGACCTCGACGAAGAAAGCCAAGCGGTGGCGTTGCAGGAGTTCGAACAGGCCAAGCTTGCCAAAGCATACGAGGTCGCAAACTTCCTCGATGACCGCGTCGCGTACGACGCGATGATGAACGTCCCCCGCATCTTTCGGGAACTGTTCGTCCGGTGTGGAGAAGTCTCGGAGGTGGGGATCGTGCCGCTGCGCGAGTGTCTGATTGAGATTTGGCGGAATTGGTCGGCGCTAGGCTTCCAGGGCAATTGCCCGTACTCGTTCAGCGATGAAGAGGTCCGTCGACACGAACGTCAGTTTGCGGAGTATCAGGGGTGGAATGAGGTCCGGCAGCTCGCGTTGGAGTGTCTGGACACCGATGCGGACGGGTGGATCGCGCCGCAGCTGGATGTCGCGGAGAAGCGGAGGCAGAATCGGGAGCTGCTTGCGATGTGGATTGAGCGGGCAGCCGGGGAAAGATCCTCGGAGGAGGCGAGAGCCATGTGGCCGTTTCGGGACTCGTGATGGGTTTGGTTAACTGGATCGTTTCGGATAATGTACCGTACAGTAGTTGGGCTGTTTTATGCTCTCGCAGTCTGCCACGAGCAAGATAAGATCAGCTGTCACCTCGCGCTTCTTCACGATTCTTAGTGTGCTAGTGGTGCGAGGACGCCTACATCCATCAGTAAACCTAATCGCTTCGCGCCAGCGTCTACTGATTGTCTCAAGCCCACCGTTCGATCTGATTCCTATCCTGCGAAATCGATGCTCGTCTCAAGTCAGCCGGTACGAAGTACAGTACATCTGAAAAACTGAACTGCGAGTTCTCTTCTCCCAACCATGACAACCAAGATACAGATTCCAACATTTGCAGACTGTATAGTAATCCAAGTCGCTGGGACAGCCCCCGGGATCGCCCCCGCCTCTCCAAGCCAACTGCTTGTCACCCCTTCGTCGGCTTCTTACTTCTTCCCCTCCCCTTCTTCCCCTTCTCTCGCAGCCGCGCCGACCGTCTCACAGCCTGGCCCTCGCTCTGAATCGGCACACGAAAGACCCTCCCGACCGGCCTATTGAACCGATGCGCCCGTTTTCCCAGCCTATACCGCTTGACCACATGCGGACACGAGCGGAGGTGCTCGAGCAGATCCGGGACCCGGAACGCGCGGCCAACCCCTCGGTCCACGACGCCTTCCGTCGGGCAATCCACGCACAGTAGTCCGCCCAGTTATGCAGGTCCCCCCATCCTTGGGCTCGGCCATTCTCCCAGAACAGCGTGCACCCGTAACAGTAGACACCGGACTCGGCGACGCGGGCGCGCGGGTCCCAGTACGGGAATGCCACGACCGGCAGCGCTTGCTGCGGGAAACTGGGCTGCCGGGATCTCGGACCCGCCGACGACAGTCCCCCCCACGGCAGCCGCGGGAGACCCCCGCCGCCGTGCTGCAGATGCAGGGCCTCGGCCTGCGCCACGTCGACGAGCAGCACCGGTGGCACGGGCCGGTTGTCCCGCAGGTTCATGAAGGGGTAGACGACCGGAAGATGGTGGCAGTCGGCGAGCCGGAGCCGGTAGATCTGGAGCACGTGCTCGAAGGAGGTGACCTGGTCTCGGTAGTGGTTCATGATGCACTGGAAACACGCCCGCGAGAGGGTCGGAAGATAGAGATAGGGCCCGAAGTCGGAGCAGGTTCGGCATTGCGGATGGCTGAATTCGTGGTAGAGTTGCTGGATCGAGAAGTGGTGTGTACACTGGGTCAGGTCGAGGACCTTGAGGGTTGGGACCGCGTGGGTGCGGAGAAGGCTGTATTCGAAGAGGGAGGAGTCTACCTGTTGTTGGATCGTGGTGTTGACTAGCCGTATGGTATCAAGCGTGATCATATCGAGGCTCAGGAGGATCAGGCGGACGATCTCTGGCGGTAGTAAGTTCCAGAGGGGCTGTGACGATGGCGGTGGCTGGTAACGCGGTGGTGGTGGTGGTGGTTGCTGCGTTTGACATCGGGCTCGGTAAAGCCGCAAGGCGCTGGTAATACAGGCGCGTGGCGCCGAGTAGATGTTGAGAAATTGCTCACCGGGCTGGTCGAGGCGATATGCTGATCCGAATGCCATTGTATGATATGGGTTATTTGGGGGGGTTTTTTTACCAGGAGCAGCGCCAGATCCTCGTGGCCCAGTCCGGATTATTATATAGTAACAGGCAATCTCGTAATGAGACTACAGTGAGATCACCGAGGGGAGGTTCATGATTACCGGAATCATTGACCGAGAAGGGTCTTTCATCAGCATCATTCTTGCCTCTTTGGTTACTTCCGCGGACGTTGCACAACGTGGAAACTTGGATGAGGACGGCTGATGAGGACGGGAGGATTTACCGGATCGCATTGTGCATTCGTGCCTCGACGCCGGAGAGGCATTGATAGAAGGACTCCTTCAAGTAGCATTCGCACGAATAGATGAAGACGTCAAAGTAGAACCGGTTGAGACTATCAGCATACTTCCAGACTTCATCAGAACTGTACAGTACCATCAGAAAGTTACTCACATGGTCGTTCGTGATAGAGGGAGTGGTTGTAAGTGAGAAGACACGATGTACTCCCTGGATAGATGGGAATCTCCGGCCGCAGAACATGGTCAAATTGAAGAGTAACAGATATTCCGCAGTGGGATTTGAAGCAGTCGCTGGGAGGAATTGCTGGTGGTGGGGGATTAAATAAGCAGGGGAGTAAGCAAGCGGAGGAAGGCAGACTGACTCTCACTCTCACTCTCACTCTCACTCACTCACACACACTCTCTCTCTTTCCCTCCGTTTCTGTGCATCCGCTTCAATCTCACTCACGAACTCACCCAAACAGCTGGGTGGATGAAAATGGAAATAACATCGACCCGGTCAGCAGTGGCTAGTACTCGTGTTGATGTCTTTGTTATCGTGGGGTGATCTCGTCTTCCTTGCTTGGCAGACACTCGGTGATATTGTATTGTCCCCACCGATCCTTAGTATTGTTCCTGTGCTGGTGTTGACAACCATCGACAAGTGCTGTACACGATGTTCATTCTTTGTCAGATCATGGATGCAATAATCTCTTCTACGAAGGCGAGCAGGGATCAGCTCACGCGAGCTGGGCTTGCACCCTGCATTTAATCGCCCCCATCGTCTCCTACCCTGAGACCCTCGCAAGAAGCAGCTCGGCGATCACTTCACCTTCACTTCACCCTTCCAGCAAACAAGCACCTCTAGCAAACAAGCACCTCTAGAATGCCATCAAAGCGCAGTATCCTCATCACCGGCTGCTCCGACGGCAGTCTAGGATCTGCCCTCGCGCTCCAATTCCACCAAGCCGGCTGGCGCGTCTTCGCCACGGCCCGCAACCCCGCGAAGCTCAAGGAGGCCGAGAAAGCGGGCATCGAGACGATCCTCCTGGACACGTTGTCCGACGAGTCGATCCGTGCCTGCGTCGCCCGCGTCCAGGAGCTGACGGACGGGTTTCTGGACGCGCTGATCAACAACGCCGGTGGCGGGTACTCCATGCCCGTCATGGACATCGAGATCCCGATCGCGCGGGAGCTGTTCGAGCTCAACGTCTGGTCGCTGATCAGCGTCGCCCAGGCCTTCCTCCCCTTGCTCCTGAAGTCGGCCCAGACCGGTGGCAACGGCGGTCCGACCCTGCTCGTCAACCACACCTCCATCTCCGGCACCATTGGCGCCACCGGGCCCTTCGCTGGGGCCTACAATGCTTCAAAGGCGGCCGCCTCCAGTTTCACCGAGACCCTGCGGCTGGAGCTCGAGCCCTTCGGCATCAAGGTGGTCAACCTCGTCACCGGCGCGGTGCAGTCCACCTTCCACGATAAGGCGCCGCACCCGACCCTGCCCGCTTCGTCCCTGTACAATGTGGCCAAGGACACCGTGGAACGCGCCTTGACCAATACCGATCCCGAGAATGACACTCCGGCCGCGGCGTGGGCGAAGCGGGTGGTTCGCGACCTCAGTAAGCGCAGTCCGCCGTATTGGATCTGGCGCGGCAAGCTCGCGAGGATTGCCTGGATTGCGGGGCTCCTGCCGCTGGGGTTCTTCGATGGGACGATGAAAAAGTGGGTTGGTTTGGATGTGGTGGAGCAGCGGTGGAAGGAGCAGGTGAAGTCATTGTCTTGATATGTGTAGGTTGGTTGAAAATTAGGTTCTTTGTGCAAATGGATGGGCATATAATGCACGCGCCTCTGTACGGTAAGAACCGAAGGTGTTGGTCGTATGGAGTTTTTGGGTGGGCATAAGGCCCGGGAGGGAGTTTCGTGACCAATAGTATCTTCTTATTTCTTTTCTGCCTGCTACCTTGCTGCTTTTGTCTTTTCTGGATCTTGTCTCGCTGTGGCTTGGTGGGTTTCGATCCAGCTGATGACAACAGTGGACTTCTCAGGCTGTCTACCAAACCAAATTTATACTCGTAGCGTGTAACCGGTTAGAACCAAGTGAATATGAGATAGCACAGATAGCACAGATAGCACAGATAGCAAAGAAAGCAAAGAAAGCAAAGGGGAAAGCGAGGCTTTGATAGTAGAACCGGTCGTGCGAGCAAGCCCTCTTGCAGACACCAAAGCTCGTCCTGCTTGAGTGCACGCGGCATACAGCGCGCCGCAAAGCCATGTTCAGCGGATATCGGCCGCGGATACCGAGGGAGAGCAAGCGCTGAAGACGCTGTGTAATTGGCACAACCAGCCCGAGGGAGTTACAGGGAAGGTGCAGAACAAGAGATGGAACAGACAACGGGACAGGGAACTGCCGCAGGGCCGATATATTTGTTTTTTAGGGAGATCCGTTGATTCTGAGTGTTAGGGAGGCCTTTTCGATGGTTGAGGAGTTACAGGGCATATCGGACATGTTCTTAGGTCCAACCACCTTCATAGCTGTGCCGCAATAGGCGGGCTGAGAGCTCTCGCGAGGCTCCTCAGGTATATAGAACATGAATTGAATTGAATTGATAGTAGAACCAGACTTGTAATATAGATGTAATTGAGCAACCTGGGCCAATAAAGGATAAGAGGAGAGTTACGTAGAAGTTAGTAGTATCTCCAATACTGATTTCAGTACAGGTGCGGTAGCTGTTGGTTCGTCCGAATGGGTTTACCGGGATCATTGAAGTTTCTGCAGAGGGTAGGGGAGGTGTATTCGGACTATCGGAAACAAAGTAGACTTTAGGACTTCTGTGCCGGACATCGGCTTCACGGCGAACCAAACACACTAAGCTGAAGACATTGTAGAATGGTCTGAGAGCATTTGATTGAGCAACATTCCTACGATGCCTGTATAGGAGCCTGTAATTGTCCCGCCGCGTTCAGCACCCAATCCCTCTCGTGATCTTCTCCAAGACAGAACAACCACAGTATCCCCCCGCCCCAATTGAAAGCTATCCAACTTCGCCAACCTCCGAGACCGTGTCTCGGCCGTCTAAAGCCGCCTTCAGAAGTCGAATGATCTCGTCGAGCTGCGCGCTCTGGCGCTGGTTCACCTGCACCAGCTCCCGCAGCCGGCGCAACGACTCCTCGTCCAGGCGCAGCTGGGCCCTCTGGGTCTCGATCATGGTCTTGAGGAGAGCAACCCCAGTCTTTTTAGATGGGGCTGGCTCTTGGAGTGATTGGGTGCAGTCGCGGAGGATGAGACCCGTGAGGCGCAGGATTTCGATTTCCGGGTGGAAGACGCCGAGCCAGATGATGACCGTTTCTAGTGTGCTTTGAGCTGGGGCGGAAGTACTAGCCTAGAGAATGAGTTTTGGGGTTAGTGAAGGAATAGGGGAAATCAAAGAGGGGGAAAGGAAATAGTTGACCGACCTTCTTCAGCTCCTCTGTGCTGGGAGACTGGGAGACCTTCTTCCGCAGAGTCTGGCTGCACATACCCAAGTGGATGGCATCTATATCCCCCAAAAGACTCTTGACGCAGAGCAGAAGCTCCGGCGGGAGGAGCTCGAACCTTGAGAGCGTTGGTTCTGATGGAGAACTGCTGCTACCGCTGCTGCTGCTTTCGGGGATGTCGACGTTATTCGTGGCATGCTCAGCTGCGCACTCACCCTGCTCTTCAATCGTAAAGGTGTCCAAGCTCATGTGGTTGGTGTTTCAGGCCTCGATCCGAATGTTGTTGACCATATAGACTGCTCATGGAGATCGAAGGAGGGAATAAAGGCGTTGTTGAATGGTGAAAGGGTGAAAGGTGCACCGTGGGAGGAGCGGAAATTGCGCAGATGACAACATGCGATTATGGTAGTTGGTCCCCGATGAACTCACTTTGGTGGCTGTGTACGGGATATAGCTCCGGTTACCGCTTAGAGGATTCTTTTCTCCTTCAAGTTCGAAAGAAAGTATTATACGATCAACGGAGTGTCTTATCGCCCGATTAAGGATAGATACAGCACAGAGCCGTCTAAGTTTGAGGGTGTCGAAGGATAGCCTCACGTAGCTGAAACCATCATGAAGGGCTTCAAAGACTGGCTTTCTCGGCCATTTCGTCTCTTACGCAGCCGCCCATACAACAAGCGACTTTCTGACCTGGAATTGCTACCGCCTGAACTGCTACTGCAGATCACAGACTATTTGGCCATCGTCGATACCATCTGCTTAGGTCTCTGCAGCCGAACACTACATCACTTCACGACAGGTCTCTGCGACCTGAGCCCAGTGCGGCGCAACAAGTCGTTAGCCCTCGCTGCCCTCAACCGGCTAGTCCGAGACTTCCCTCGGATGTTCTGTTGCCACTATTGTGCAAGACTGCATTCTATCACAGACGTCCTCCCCCCAGCGACTGATCAGATTATCTTCACAAAATGCCCGGACCTGGGAGCTCCATTTCTGTACCGGGGTGATGGTCCACTGCCTTCGCTAATGTGGTTCGTTAGGGTCCACTGCCTGCCCAGCGAGTACAGGTTCCAACACTGCCACCTGGCCGCCGTGCTGCAGAACCACTCGTGTGGCGGCCGCTGGGGGATCAGTTCCGAGTCATTGGCCTACACCGAGGTGGTTGACTATCCGGAAGACCCCGCCAGAACGACTTTGTTGTCAGTGGAAGGACGGGTCTACGTGCCTGCTGGGGCTCGCTCGACACCACTATCGCTAATTCTGCAGATACAGCAGTGGGTGCTATTTCATGATGACGACATCGTCTTCGCCGACTGGGACAATGATGTTCCTCTTTCAGTGTTCCATCGTCTGTTCATTTGCGGAGGGCAGAAGCTGGGCACTGCGGCGGTAATGGACGCCATTCGATCTGTTGTCCAGCAGCGGGGATTCTCTTCTCTGGACGAGCAACCGTCTTCCGCTGCGGGATATATGCGGTGCTCACTTTGCGAGGTCGAGTTTCAGATTTCCCTTGAGGACTGTGGCAAGGATGGCAAGGCAGTGATCATTACCAAATGGCTAGACCTTGGGGCGGGGATGGATCTCGAAGACTCAAAGTGGAAGAAGAAGGCCACTTTCGATCCCTCTGGGCCTCGCGGAGGGCTTGATCCAACGATGGCGAGCTCCGGGGAGGTGCGTCGGTTGTTTTGTGAAAGCTCGGATCGAGAGAGTGACCCTACACGGCGAAACAAATCATACTTAGTTGGGAGGCAATACCGTCGCACAATGCGCAAGAGCAGCTGGGATTTCTTGTACTATACCCCTCATCCTATTGCTCGTCGTGGACGAAGAATTTGAAAGCGAGACATGTTGCTGTCTGTGTATTACCAGTAGCACCCCGGTAGTGCGTACATTGGATTCGAATGTGGAAGGTCTCTGCTGCATGAGATTGGAGAAGGCTATGTTCGATGAGAGAGGAGTCACCCTGCTGTTGAATTGTGGTGTTGACTTACCGTAAGGTACTCAGGGTCATAATGTCCAGTTTCAGGAAAAATGATGCGAGCGATCTTGAGCGGTAGTGAGTTTCATAGATAGATGCTGCGAAGTTGGCGGCGGTTGTTTGGTATGAGTAGCTAGTCTACTGTAGCTACTATACACCGGCCTCTTCTCTTTTTCTTTTCTTTCCCTTTCTCACTCCCTCCCTCCGTTCTTCCTCGCCTGCTTACTTGTTCCCCCACAATCAACAAACGCCTTCTTGATGAGTTGTACACTACTTCCCTTCAGCAAATGCTTTGAGTCATGTTTCAGCCTGTCCATTAAACTTCAATTTGACCGTGTGAGAACTTCGAATCCAACTCGAAGAAGGCAGCACTTGCTGCTAGAGGAAGACTTTTTCTGCGAGCATCAGCCTTGCTCATGGCAACAGCTCCCCCAGGAAGAAGCATACTGGTGTTCATCCTGCGTCCTTGTCTCTCCTCAATGAACAGCCTTACGATCACCACCCTCCAAGCAAACACATTTTCAACGCTGCTCACTGAGGAGAGCCAAGGGCGAGGGTTCTGCGACCACCACCCGTCGAATGAAAACATCCCCAATAACTACGTCGGGAAGACCTGGCCAAATCTTTCTATCACCTGGGGCAAGGGCTTCACCAAGGAGTAGAACAAGAAGTTGCGTGGATCTACGAATACCACCCTTCGAACCAAACTACCACCGAATACACTTCCTACGTCCACGCCCTTGGCTCTCCGCAGTACACCGTTTACAACCACTATCATCCAAGCAAACAAATTCCCTCTGTCCACTGAGGAGATCTGAGGGCGTAAGTCCTACGACCCTCACCCATCGAGCGAATACATCCTTTATGCCTACGCTGAGAAGGCCTCGCGAGATCTGTCAATCGCCCGGGGCCAGGGACTTACCAGAGAGAAGAACAAGAAGACGTGTAGACCTACGAATACCACCGTTCGAACCGAACAATCACCACCAAATACACCTCCTACGCTCATGCCCCTGGCTCTTCTCAGTGAGCAGCCCTACAACCACCACCCTCCAAGCAAAAACATTCCCGACACTGCTCACTCAGGAGGGCCAAGGGTGGAAGACCCTGAAACTGCCACCCCTCAGATGAATAAACCTCCTACCTCCTATGCCCACGCCCCCCTTGGCTCTCCTCAGTGAGCAGCCTGACGACCGCCATTCTTCGAACAAACATATCCACTCAGCTTACTGAGGAGAGCCAAGGGCGTAGGTCCTACAATCACCACCTATCGAATGAATACATCCCCTATGCCTACGCTGAGAAGGCCTCGAAAGATCTGTCTATCACCTGGAGGGCTTCAATAAGGAAAAGAACAAGAGAAAGCGTGGATCTATGGCTACCCCAGGATAGGGCTGTAATGGTCACGTGATTGGGAAATGCTCTGAAGGGGGACAGAAAAGCTTCAGGGGAAAGCTTCCCGGGGGTAGGATAAGCTGGGGGAGGGGGAGGGGGAGGGGGTGTGAAGACCAGGAAGTACTGTATCTAGTCAGCTCTCTAGGGAATTTCCAGAGGGGTTTAGTCGGCGGCCACCGCTACTACAGTAAGAATACTTTGGCAAGAGAATTCCAGATTTGCTGAGTGGCTGCAACAGGTCCCCCCTAAGCCCAGGCATATTCGATAATGTTTCGCCAACCACAAACCACTAGATCCTAGTGTCTATAGTCCTCGCAATAAGGGTGTATTACTAGCACGACCAGGCTCTAGATATCCGTCTTGAAATCTCAACCACAGCCAAGGATCACCTCGGGAGCACGGTAATCTGGTTGAATGGGGTAAATGCCCAGTTGCTTTCCTACCATTCCATCATAAGAAGGCAGTTCGTCGAGTCTTGTTACGAGCCCAAAGTCCGAGATTTTGGGGACCATATTCTTGATCTCTTTTGCATCAAGGGGCCCAAAGTCGTTACAGCAGCGGTAGATGGTCCGACCACTTTCGCCATCAATCTTATACTGCCTCGGCTGTTGTCGTTTGACAAAATTGGTTAGGATGTTTTCGTTCTCAAAGCTTAGCAGAATATTTTCTAGCTTCAGATCTAGTGGATAGATTAAATTATTTATGTCTCTACTATCGAAATGGAAAGATTCCGATTCGTACTCACCTGTGTGGACAACCTTGCACTCTGAGTGAAGAGAATCGAGACCCACGAGGAGAAAGTAGATGTAGGCTTTGGCAATGGGCAGGGGAAGCTTGCGATCAACGAAGCGCTTCTACAAGATTCAGAGTGGCTCTCGCATCGGCTCGTATACGAGGCACATGTGCTTTCCCTGCGGACCCGGAATCTCGAAGTCATCCAGACACGTCCGGAGAATCACCCCCCAACGATGCTCCGGATTCTGTTGCGAGACGTGCTTTTCAATCTCCCTTTCATGCAGGGCACTGTCACCGTCGTTGCTGTTGATGATTTTCAGGGCCACCGTCTCTTCAGGTTGCCATCGGAACTTGGAAATGTCGCGGGCGAGCCAGACTGTTGATTGCGATCCCCAGCCTATCTTGAAAAGCAATGAAACCTCTGTGCTAGGATCTTCCCAGGCTTTGCTGGGTAATATGCTGCTGAATCATAGTCAGGGCACAGCTCCTCATCGACGAGTTCCTGCTGAGGAATTGGAGGCCCTGGCTATGGCGGTGATCGCCAGAGCGACTTCTTGGCGAAGGAGAAGATGGTACGTCGCGAAGCCAGGGGCAGTCGCTGGAGGAGCAACATTAGTCATGTGTGTGCTCGCGACGCTGTGGAGATCGTTCAATTGCCAGGTCAAGATATGTCAGTCAAGGTACGGTGTGGCTGAGCTGCCTCGGAGTAGATTAACCGCCACGAGGGAAGCGCGATGAGTAAGCGGGAAACACCGCTTCGACATATACGAATAGTAGTGGGCAAAATGCCTAGTGAGGTAAAGAAAAAAGTTGCTCGGAGATCAGAAGAGCCAAGAAACATTCGATAGGGTTATTGATTGTCTATCGATTCTGTTTTGGATAGAGGGATGGATGGATGAAATAGGAGGCTGGCCAGCTTACGGATGCCGGAAGAATACTAGGACCGGATCAAGAGGTGGATATCAACAACATCCATAAGTGTAGAGCAGAGTAACTTACTCAATGCACTTTAGCTTCATAGTGCCAGGGGCTCAATTCGCTCCAAACTACCTCTGGTTCCATATATCGTGTTGCTTGAGTACATTCGCGCCCACCAGAAGTCCTGCTACTACTAATAACCCACAAAATCAAATGGATCGCCCGAAGCTAGCAAGTAGCGCTGCGCAAGTTCAAATGAGATGCAAGGAAGGAAAGCTCACTCCCTGTCTAAAACAAAGGAGAGTTTAGGGTAGAGGCCCCGAAGAACGATCTCAGCATTGATCGGTGCATCCTCCTTTCATCTCTCGGCATGTCTTGGCCCTGGGACCTCAACCCGACTTGTCTTTACGACTCACCTGGATGAAGTCAAAACGCCCTTGGATGGTAGCGCACTCGTTCTCCTTCGTGATCCATTCGATATACCGCGGCTCCGACGAGATTACACCTGTGATCAATACTTTGTCGCCATCGAGCGAGATTCGGAACTCACTCCGCCGAAACGTTGCTACATACATACCCTCCGGGACGCTGCCCCGTTGCCCGCCGAATTTCGTGATACCGGTCGCCGCGACAGGTCTCTCTGTATTCAGCAAGCTGCAGGGGAAGAGCGGGCCCAGTTTGAAAATGTAATTCTGGCCGTCTACGACGAATATCGCCCAGGTTTCGTCATTACCTCTCTCATTGGGATCGTATTGCATGAATCCTGGGGTTGTCGCGTCGCGAGTTAGCCGTCTCCGCTCTCGCCTCCCCCTAAAGAAAGAACAAATCAAATCAAGGAATAACGAAACAAAGAAAACACATACCGCGCCATGTGGTAGGCAGTTGCTCAAGCTTGAACAGAGTGATGTTGACCCCTTTCTCCCAGAGGTTGGCCTGAGCCTTGACTGCACCGTCTTCGATGCCGATGGAAAATGAGCTGTCCCCAAAGCCGACACCCGTGGCGAATTTGTCATGAACCCCGTCGTGGATATTGCCAGCGAACGGTTTCAGAGATTTATACGTTCCGAAAGCCTTGACACCGATCTTGCCGTTAATGTTCCCCGAAATCTTGTCGACGTCACCCTTGATCTAAAGAAATCCAAGCCGATTGATGCATGAGTACGCAATACTAGCGGATGGGCTTCAAACAGGCAGCCACGTACGATGAGAGTTCCGAGCTTCTATTTCGATACTCGACTGCGTCAGTCCTTTGCCGTTCGTGCTTGCCTCCATAAGGCTGAGATGGATAAGCGGTTCAGACACGTAACGCCAAAAAATCTCTCCTCGTAGTGAACTATCAAGTCATATACAAGTCAATCTCTCTTCGCAGTAGATCAGGATAGTGGTTATCCCGGAGTACGAACGAGTATTATCATCGGAATTTGACATTGTTTCAGGCTTCCCAGGCGGTAGGAGTGCGCGGAGTAAGTTTGTTGTTTGAAGCACCGCTATGTGAGGGCGGAGCGGATGGTTGCAGTGCAGAGGAAAGCTCGTGGGTGCGTCTCACTTGAAGAGGATGGTTTTATTTATACCTGTCAGTTCTTAGTGAGTTATCACGTTTCACCAGTCTTCTCTGCCCCCTCCCCACTGCACCTCAAGATTCTAGCTGAAAACGGACGGCATGAGCTGAAAACGGAAGACTTCAAGGTTCCCGAGTCAAGTCATGCCTGTCACATCCAAAAAGCAAACTCCACACTCGGGCAGTCATGTCCAGCTCCGCCATCTGTGTCTGACACTTCAAAAAGATGCCCGTGGATACCACATTACTCCACCCGGGGGAGTGGGCCTACGAATCAGAAGCCTACCCCAACTGAACTATACCCAATAGTCGATGACACCATGTCGATTCTCATATGACAAATCGTAATGTCTCAAGTTAATCTGCACATCGCCCCGCATTTCCTACAGATCCATGTGTCAAGTGCATAGTACAAATCGATGCATTGATGTCTGATGAGGCAAACATGCACATACCCCTCCTTCGCCGGGTAGATTGACAACTCATCGAAACCACTCAGAGATCTGGACTCATTATTGAAAAGGATTGTCTGATTTAGACTGAATTGAACACAGAATAGTAAGCTATCTGATCACGAAAAGGTGTACATGTCCCAAGGACGTGCATGTGTGATGAATCCAGCGACGCGAGACTATCTGGGCGAGGAACTAAACAACATGACCGTGGCGGGCGGTGAGTAGACTGGCTATTGAGGCTGACAACATGCATCGTTGCGTAATTTGTACATCACATCCTGTGAGATGGATGAAACCAGGTCATCTTGCTAATGTAGCTCATGCTCATCATTGGAGCTTTACTTCCAGTAACTTTTATGCCGGATAATCTTCATGCCCCCCCCCCCCCCCCCCCTGTCTTCCTTGAATCCACAGAACCCCTAATGCTACAGCATATTATCCCCTCAGACCGAGCTTCTTCAACTTCCAGTGCTTTGGGGTCTCATCAACCTGAGTAGCGCACAGATATTCCGAAAAGTGGTTGCTTTCCCGCTTGGGGATGGGTAGATGTCATTGAACACAGATCTCCATTCGAGGCATCGCCTCGATTAACTATCCATACCAGGGAGACAGAAGGCTCTGGGGCGAGACACAGAGCAGGCGAAAACTGGTCTGCCCTGGACCCGTTGCGAGTGATACGTCACGCGATAATCGACGCCACGTTGGGTGTCTCGACGAGTCATATCAGATCTTTCGCAGGGTCCATGCAGCTAGATCCAGTTGTCCTCGACATTATAGTAGAGGTACAGAACTTTCCTTGTCAAAGGCCTCCCCGTAGACAAGACATAATGTGGAGGTAGTTTCTGGCGGAGTGTTCGACTCAGGAGCTTTCTCACCTCTAACCTAAGCATTGTAGAGTCTATGTCAAGATCTTTGTCATGATAGAAAATATGCGCGGGATGAACGTAGCCTTAGTCGGCTAGGAGAACCCGAGAGCTTGAATCATGGTTCTACGGCAAACCTCCTCATTGTAGACACCATGCGCAGGATGGACTGGCACTTTTATGGCTGTGATCCTTGCCCGGCTGACAGAATCAGCAAACCTGATAGCTTTGTTTCTGCGTCCAGACCATTGTCATCGTACACAATATGCGCGGGATGGACCAGTACTCTTATGCCTGTAGTCCTGCATGGGATTAGAAAAGCCGAGAACCAGATACCTCTGCTTTTGCTGTCCTAGCTATCATCATTTTAGACAATATGCACCGAGTTGACCAGGACTTGATTCATCTCCAATCCGCAATTGGTTGAGAGAATCGAATCGAAGAACTTGATTACCGAATCTGCCTCGTATCAGGCACTATGCGGTGAATTGACCAGTTTTTGACTGGAATCTGGAATCCGAGAGCTCGGTAACCCCTTTCAGTGTCCTGTCTTCGTCATAGTAGATGATATGCACTTAGTGGACTAGTGCCTTCAAGTTCTTAATTCCTCGTCCGTCGGCTGGATGACTCTAAGAGCTTGATCTCTTTGTCTAGAACTTCGTCATCGTAAAAGATATGCGCTGGATTGACCAGTATTCTCATATCTATAACCCTTAATCCTTTGAGTGGATCCGAGAACTCGATAGATTTGCTCCCGTGTTCTGGACCTCGTCATTGTAGACACCATGCACGGGATCGACCAGTTCGTGCGAGCAAGATTTCATATATGCATATCGAACCAGGCGGCTAAGGCAAGTTAACTTAACTTTGACTTGGTACTCTTGTCTTAACGTCTTCTCCTTCTGTCAAGGAAGCTTGTATTGAAGACGAATAGCTCAATTTGTAGAGCAACCGAATTGACATCTCCGTCAGGGTTGGAACGTTCAGACCGTAGTGATGAAGAGGTCACAAACAGTTGGCATGTTCAGATTCGAGACGTTTTTTACTCATCGATATCGACCAGGTAATCAATATATCGCCGGTTGTCCGAGAGAAGTCGGCGTTCCAACGATATACCCCGGCGTTGGTCATGCGAACGCCCTTTAGGGTTAGTGATGAAAGCCAGTTGCAATCCGTGGAACATCAAGCCCCGACTTCGGCTTCTGCTTTGTCCTTTTTCCGTCTTGCATGTGGAAAAGTATCAACGCAATCGCTGATCTTCACATAGACGATCCATCCTTATGGCCGATATCGTGTGCATCGGTCAGTCTGCGCAGCGCCAAGATTAGATCAGTCAGAGTCAGAGATATGCAGACGGGGAGGGTCCGCGTACGTGTCAACTGCTTGAATTTTCCATCTGCTTCCGCTAGTCAAGAGGCTATGCTTTTCCTCTGTGTCCAGCTTGGCAGCACAAGAAATTTGCACCATACCGCAGACCGTCGACGGGTGTGCTCGAGAGCCCATCTTATCTCTTTCAACTTATTTGCCTGAGAATTGGTCTGTTGATCAGTCCCAGTCTGGATAGTTCTTGACCCGCTATTTGATTGTCCTTCCACTTATTATGTTTGGCTCGTAATCCCTGTTAACAAGGACGGGAATCATCGCACCCGTTCGATCGTCGCCGTTGGTAGGAGTGTCCTAAGCCATGCGATATAGTGTCAGTCAAGCTTTCTTTACTTTGGAAGACAGAAGGAGTCAATAATTACCTTGCTAGCACTGGGAAACGAGAACACATCGTGGTTGGCGTCACTCTCTTGACTATTCAGTTTCAGCACAGCCTCAACGGACCTGGGAGCGAAGGATGTATTGTACCTAATATTTGCTCAAGCTATCGTGTATAGATAGTCATCTTCGCTCGTGTAGCGATAGAAATTGCCAAGCCCCAGAGATGGCACAAGCCCAGATTCTGGACAATCTCCCTGGGAATGTTCTGCTTATGCAGTTTCGGATCTGATGTTAAAGTATTCTTTGCGGCCTGCGTCCTTGTTGAGCCACTGTGAGCCTCTTTAAGCTCCCCAGAGAAATTTCCTCAAGCTGGATTCCTGGCAGAAATCCTTCTATCTATCATAAGCAGCTTGGAGCTCAAAGGGCTAAGTCTGTTGCACGTATGGTTTAGATTCAATTCCATAAAACCATCTGCCTCAATGGTTCCAATGTTATCGCGAGAGCTACCAAGGGGTAGAAAGAAAGATTCAGAATCTGCGAGTCACCGCGTGAGTCACCACAGAGTAGACAGAAAGAGTGGTAATCTCAAAGCAAACGAAATGGTATCAGGGAGTAGAAAGAAAGATTTGAGGCATTGGAATCTCTCGTAACAGGTATAGGCGTGTTTCGCATTTGAGGCTGCAATTCTAGCGAGTTGAATCGAACGCCCTCCGAACGCTTTATGTATGTCACGATGAGAGAAGACTAGGAGATGGTCAACTAAATCGAGTCTATCAGACTTGCAACTCTTCATCGACCAACTGCTGTAATTGGGTGTTCCGTACAGCTTGGTCCCCGAATGAACAGGGGCTGTAGGTTGATCCTATGATTCCATCACTGACAATGGAAATGACTGGGATATTCTCCCATGTTGCAGCGCCTTGGCTCAGTTGCAACGAAATTGCGTTGGTAGTACGATCAGTGCTCGTACTATTCTTGCCTAAAGGCATTCATTTGGCTGTCCTGTGCAAATTCATGCTTGGTCGTTCAGCGCTCCGTTCGAACCTTGGAGAGCAACTGGGCCCTTCTTCAGACCATTCGCAATTGGCGGATGCTCCATTGAATAGTTCGTTAGCTTGTAGATTCTCTAAGCGGGACGAGGCATGATGATTTGTAAGGCTTTTATCTTGCTCACAAAAAACCACCACACCTTAGAACGGAAGGGCAAGCACGGCCATCGCTTAGGGCGGGAACCTTACCAGCCGTCTCTTTAGCCACCGAGATCGAAGAGTTACAACGATCGTGAAAGAGA